AGCGTGCTGGTTCAAATAAACGTTCCTCCGGGATTCTTTTTATGTATATTAAATAAACTTTTCGGATTCGGATAACAGCGTCGAGAAATCTTTTGAAAAATAATCAGACTTCCCTACCAAAACATTTCACTCCATGCAAGGCAATACATCCACTAAGACCCAGGGTTACTGAGTATAAAATAATAAGAAAAATTGAACCATTATTAAGGAACGAGAACAATAGAATAGTAATCAAGAGGGCAGTAGATAACGATGGACATTGCATTTAAATCTTTCAAGATCCAAGTTAGCACTAAAGCAAGAAGCCAGAAGAGATTTCCACAAGCCAGAATTGCGAGAAAAGAAACTGTTAGCATAGGACTTACGGTCACATCTAGCCAAGTCGACTGTAAATTGATGGAATCTAATCACCAGTCTAGCACTGCGCTTAAATTCATAAAATCTAGGTACGATAGAGGAGAGTTCACCCCGCCCCCAAAAAAAATACCATGAAAAGATTTATAGAAAGAGCTCAGGAAAACTACATAAAGGTGGTGGGAAAATGACTAAAGCCAATTTGCCAGATCAAGACGAATAACATTGCAAATTCTTATTTTCATTTTATGAAGAATCTCTAAATATATAACAGGTGCGCCCGACCATATCTGGCAGTAATATTCAAAGAATATTTATAGAAAAGACACAGGGAAGCAACTTTATGGGGGTGGGGAATTGACTGAAACCAAGACGCCAGGTTAAGACCAATAATATTGCCAATTCTTCTTTGGGTTTTATGAAGAATCTCTAAATATATTATAGTAAGAGCTCTGGACCATATGTGCCGCCAGCAGTATTCTAAGCATTGACGAAGGGTAGACATAGTTACGTAAGATAGATCCTGGAGATAAAAACTGCCTCGAACGATGCAGTAAACCAATTTTCCTAGCAGCATACCTAGCAATTGATCCAGTATAATCTTTCGACTTCATGTTAGCCCGAGGAGTTGCAACGAGTCACTTTTCTGGAGGTTAGCATCATCCATTCCGTTGGAAGGCAGATCCTGCATCTTCTTCTATGTGGGCGTTCAGGATATGAGCGATCATGGCTCTCCTAAAGTCTATCCTTCCAACCATTTACATTTAGTAGGTTCTTTTCTAAGCCCTCTTTCCTCCGTGCGTGCCTTAGAAATTTCAACTGTCACTTTTCGGTGTTAAGTATAAGTGTCTTTTTGTTTACACTTTCTTAGATGTTCGGCCAGGGTATTATCACCATATTTCTGTTGTCTTTTCCTCATCTTTGAGAAGCATTCACTGCCGTATAAGAGGACCGACACTACATAGTAGATCAACATTTTTTTCTTTGTGGCTTATGAATTATTTTTGTTTCTTAATACTTTGCTTAGCTTTTGGAAGGCACCTTTCGCTATCTTAATGCGCTTGCGTACGAACAGAAAATGAATTCAGTAAATGCACAAAAATGGAAAGAGATGTAAGACAAGGATGTGTTTTACCACCGGACATATTTAAACTTAATAATGAGTCAATTCTAAGAGAACTAGCAGTCCTACCAGGATTTATATTTGGCGGACACAAAACATATGGGGTCTTAGTGGATGTATTGCCTTGCATGGAGTGAAATGTGTTAATAGCAGAGAGAGGAAACTACAGGAAGACCCAGAGAATGTTGTAAAGGAAAGAGAGAAGAAAGAACTAACCATTAATTGTACGAAGACAGAATGTTGCCCGCAAGAAGAACATCCCAAGTGGCGAATTACGGTTTGGAGATGTCGAAATCAAGCAAGTACGAAAATTTAAATATCAAGGAAGTCACTTGACAGGGAAAATGTGACACCGAAAGCCGAAGATGCATTGTAATAACAATAGATAGCTTCCAAAAGTTTTAAGAAACAGGAGAATTTCGATAGAAACGGGCGCTGAATTTCAATCCTCCTATGTAGCAGTGAATATTGGACAATTTCCTCGCGAATGGAGGAGTGAATCGAGGCGGCAGAGATGTGGTTCTACAGAAGGATGCTGAGAATGCCATGAATTGAACTTGTGAGCCTGATGATTTTTTTTTAACGTGAATGTAAAGAAAAAGGATGCTTACACTTAGAAACGGACAGTTGAAATTTCTAGGACTCATAATGAGGAAAGAGCGATCGGAGAATTTGACACTCACAAGGACAGATCGAAATCAAGAGGCAAACGGTGAGTAACTTACCTAACGAGATTGTATAAACGGTTGGCTGAACAGGGACCGAGGGAGATAGCGAAAAAAAAAAAAAAAAACTTACTAAAGCAAGAAAGTAGTGGAGAGCCTTGATCATCCAGATCCTGAAGGAACACGGCACATGGAAGAAGAAAATATGGCAATGAATTGTTGAGTATCTTCTCACAGATGAAGAGATTTGAAGATAGAAAGTAATTTCTTTCGATGAAAACTGAGAATACTACGGAGAGAGGCTGTGATCAATGAGAAAGTTTTAATGTAAACTAGCAGTATAACCCGTCAACGCCCGGGTCTTTCATTACTGGAAATTTTTGCCGTTCAGTCGGAGCAGTTTAAATTTAAAGTCAGCCCACCCGAAAATCAATATCAGTAACAACAATCGGGTGCAACTGAAGCTAATCCCCAAATGTGGGGGGGGGTAACAATTTGAATGGGGGGTGGGTCTGAAAAGGGCCGTTTTTGCGTTTTCAATCTTGAAAGGAAGGAACCTCTTCAATGGACCATCATAATGATAATATACGATAATTTTTATTTGTAATATATTTTTTTTTTATAATTCTAATAATCTATTGTGTTAGATTTCAACTCTCTAAGTTGATTGTACGCTGTCTTTTACAAATATTAAATTTTGCCTTCGATTTTTGCGCAAAGTGTAAAAAGTCAGTTTTTTCGAGTTTTCACCTTCAAGGTTGTAATTTTTCCCAGCCAATTTGAACTCAAAACCGGCACAGAAGAATTATCTATCAAACAAAAAAAAAAATTCATCGAAATCGGATGAAATCTGTGGAAACGCATAAACAAAATCCGATCACACACACATAAACACACACATTTTGAGAAGTATAGATTTAGATAGAAACGATAAAAAAAATCCTAGTACTTATAATCAGAAACAGATGAAATTTCTGGGAAACCTAATGAGGAAAGAGGACATAGAAAATTTAACACTCACAGGACGAGAGAGGGCGGGAAAATGGCGAGTAATGATTTGTGGGAATAGATTGCAGAACAGAGACCAAGAGGTGTGGTAAAAGATTAAAAAAAAAAAAGACAGAACAGAAAATAGGAAGTTGTGAAGAGCCATGATCACCAAGGACCGGATGAGACTTGACTTGTAAAGGATGAATTTAGTGTTGCGTTTCTTTCTTCGATTAAAGAGAGCCAGAGACGCGAGAATATAAATAAACAATTGAACCACACCCCGTGGCTTAAGAAGTCTTTTATAAACGATAGATTAATGACTTCCGGAATAGATTTAGTTTGATATTTTATTTTTTTTTTTAAACTTATTTTTTGACTTCTTTTTTCCTTCTTTCTTTTTTCTCTGATTATTTCTTCCTTCCTTCCTATTTTATTTCTTTATAGCTTTCATTCTTTTTATTCATTTTTATTTATTCTTTTTCATTTTTCTTATTCGTTTATTCATTTTTCTTCATTCTTTTTATTCATTCTTTTTATTCATATTTATTCATAAAATTTATTCATCTTTTTATTCATTTTTTATACATTCTTTTTATTCATTCTTGTTATTCCTAGTTTTTCATTCTTATTCGTTTATGCATTGTTATTCATTCATTTTTATTCATTAATTTTTATTCATTCTTCTTATTCAATTTTTATTCTTCTAATTCGTTTATTCATTTTCATTTATTCTTGTTTTTCATTCTTTTTATTTATTCTTTTATTCATTCTTTTTATTTATTCTTTTATTCATTCTTTTTATTTATTCTTTTATTCATTCTTTTTCATTCCTCTTATTCGTTTATTCATTTTTATTCATTCTTTTTATCCGTTCTCTTCATTTTGTATTTCATTCTTTTTATTTATTCTTTTTATTAATTTTATTCATAATTTTATTCATTTTTATTCATTCTTTTTATCCATTCTTTTATTGATTTTTATTCATACTTTTTATTTATTCTTTCTATTCATGCTTTTTACTCATTTTCATTCATTCTTTTCGTTCCTTTATTCCTTTTTATTCATTCTTTTTATTCATTCCTTTACTCATTTTAGTTTAAATCTTCTCTCCTGTGTTTCTTTCTGTTTTCGTTCATTTTTCTTTATTTTTTATATTTCTTCCTTCTTTCTTTGTGTTTCTTTCTTTTATCTTCCATTCTTTCTTTTCTTTAATTCTTTTTATTTCGTTCTTTCCTCTTTCATCCCGTCTGTCATTCATTTTTTTTATTTTCTTGATTTTTCTTTCTACTTTCTTTTTATTTCTTTACTGATAACATTTTCTATCTCTTTTCATCTTTCTTTCATTTTTTTTTCTTTTTCTTTCTTGTATCTTGTCTTATTTTCTTTCAACATTTACTCTCTTTTTAGTTTTTATTCTTCTTCATTTATTCTTCATAATTTTCCCTTTCTTTCATCTTTTTAAGGGGTGGTGCTTTTTTTTGTTTGTTTCTTTCTTTCTTTCTTTACATATTTCTTTCTTTGTTTTCATTTTCTTCTAGATTTTTTCTTTCTTTTAGTACATCTAGTATTTTTCTTTTTTCCTTCAACTACCGGCAATCTGCTTTTATTTCTTTCTTTTTATCTGCTTCTTTTAATATATTTCTTCCTTTCCTTCTTTTGCTTCTTCTAGATTTTCTTTCTTTCTTTTTCTTTCATTCTTCCTTTTTTTCCTTTTTCATTCCGTCTTTCTCCATATTTACATCAGGCGCCTTTCTTTCTATTCATTTGCTTCATCTAATATTGTTCTTTCTTTCTTTCTTTCTTAATTCTTTCTTTCTTCATTCAAACCACATTTGTTTTTTTCTTTTCTTGCATACCTTTTATTTAAACCATCTGCCTTTCTTTCTCTTCATTTCTTCTTCTAATACTTTTCTTTCTTTCTTTTCTTTCTTTCTTTCTTTTCTTTCTTTCTTTCTTTCTTTCTTTCTTCATTCACACCACATTTGCTTTTTCTTTTCTTGCATACATTTTATTTACACCATCTGCCTTTCTTTCTCTTCATTTTCTTTCTTTTTTTCTTTCTTTCTTTCTTTCTTTCTTTCTTTGTAATGCTTTCTCATCATCCATTCTGGTCCACGGACTTATATCTCAACGCAAATTCAAATCAATTACACTTTACTGAACCGACCTCTGCGACGGAACTTCCCACCTGACGACTCAAACATGGCGCCCTGCCTGTTGAAGATTTAGTGAATATCGCCTAAGTGCTATTTCCGCGAATGTCGATTAAATCATCTGCTTGTGATTTTTCAAGCTTTTCTTGTGAAACGGGATGAAGAGCCAAAAGTAATTCAGGTAAAGTGGGTCTCCTGACATCGTTAATATACGATTTCGTTACACGTCAATAATATTAATTCTCATGTTCTATTAGTCGCTCCGGAACATATACAACACGTTTCCGTCATTTTTTTTGTTTGTTTTTACTGACGTTCCCACAATACAAAGCGCAAGAGGCACTGAATGTAGTGGAGTTATATTAGCGTAAGAAAGGATAAGCTTTAGGAGTACAGAGCTGAAGAAGACATTAGAAAGGACCGGAAACCCAATCCTAAACAGGAAACATGGGATAAAGTTCTACTCCCGTTCAAAAGATCGGGGAGGAGACGTGAAAAGTATAGAGTTGAAGTTGACTTTAGAAGGAAGCGGTAACCCAATCCTAAACAGGGAACAAGGGATAAACCTATACTCCTGTTCAAAAGACCAGGGAGGAGACGTTAGAAGTATAGAGTTGAAGTAGATTTTAGAAGGAAGCGGAAACCCAATCCTAAACGGGGAACAAGGGATAAACCTTCTACTCCTGTTCAAAAGACCAGGGAGGAGACGTTAGAAGTATAGAGTTGAAGTAGTCTTTAGAAGGAAGCGGAAACCCAATCCTAAACAGGGAACTTGGGAAAAACTTACTGTATCTTACATTGTATCTCATCCCGACGAGCTACTTTAATACATCATCGTCCAATGTGCCGGGTTATTAGGTTGGTGCAAAAATAATGACGTAATAATGTCGTTTTTGGACGTATTTTTTAACGTCGAAAAACGACATTATTACGTCATTATTTTTGAACCAACCTAATATTTCAGGAAATGGGCAATCTTGGCTCTTCACAACATCGAAACCTTTGAATCTCTTCGTAATGTTTATTCATCATCAATCTCCGTCCCCTGTTCTGCCATCCATTTACACACGCTCATTATTTAGGTCGCTCGCTGTTTCCTTCTGCTTTTATTGATTTCAATATGTCCTGTGTGTGTGTTAAATTTTCCAAGCCTCCTTTTTTCCTTTTGTTTCATAATATTTCGAATGTGGTCTTTTCTGATTCTAAGTATAAGTTTCCTTTTTGTTTTCATTTTGTCTCAAATCACCATCTTTACTTAGTCCATGCTATTCTGTGCATCCTTTTGTCTTTTCTTTATCTGTAAGGAGATTGTTCAGTATTCCCTGCCATTTAGTTGTTGGTTGGAAATATAAATACAAGAGGTGCTGTTTGATTGGTTGATCTTGCTTGGTGGCATATCCAATCATCTATGGATTATTTAATACCGAACTCAAAATATTTTGCACAGATTTTTTTATGGCAGCAATTGTTAGAAAGTGTTAATGTTGGGTTGAAATGAAACAAAAGTCCTGAAACAATGTATTGAGATTCAGTCTAGTGAAGATAAAGAATCCTAACCCTTACCCTAACACATAACCCTCCCTGCCATTTAGTTGTCATGTAAATACAAGAGATGCTGTTTGATTGGCTGAATTTGTTTAACACGTAAATATTTTGAACAATTTTATGGCTTCAACGCAATTATGGTGAACGCAATTGCATGCCTTCTACCAAAAATAAAATGTATTGTTGGTAATTTTACTATAAATAGGTATTTTTGTTATTTTTTTTTATATACGAAAAGGTATTGCCGGTATTTTACTATTAAAAAAAATGTAATTTTTTGTACTTTTATATTGTTTTGTTTTTGTTTTGGCGTTCACTATTTGCCCATAGCCGAGATCCTCACAGGTGCTACCACCCCTGGTCAGGGTGGACCTGGGAACAACAGCAATTGTCTTTTCTTCAAAAGCTTCAATCTCCCGATCAGAGGCTTTTATCGTCAGACACGCTGTAATATTCAAATAAGTCTGGTGAGAAGATACGCCTTTTAGTGTTGATAGTAGGCACAGAATGGAAACTGCAGAAATTCTAGAGAAGTTAGTGAAGGAAAATCAGAAAAAAAAAATTAACCACTAATTGTAAGAAGACAGATTGTGTGGTTGTCAGCAAGACGGACGCCCCAAGATACATCTCCAAATTCAGATATACCAAAATCAAGCAATTACAAAATTTTACTTATATGAGAAGTGTTATAACAGATTACGGAAAATGTAACATTGAAATACAAAGGCGACTTGTAATAGCGAAAGATACCTTCCAAAAGCTAAGCAGAGTACTATGAAACAGGAAAAAAAGCAATACTAAACTGTTATGTAATATCAGTCCATCTATATGGCTGGGAATATTTATTTTTTATTATCATTTATATTACTTTCTTCCTGAGTACATTTGAATGTTGCTACATTCGTTTTCAAGATCTCAGATGAGATCCACTATCCGGAACAACCTATCCCATCTAAATAATCTTGAAAAAGTCACAAACACTTCCAAAACCATTATAGAGATACTAAGATCTTCAAACAATAATAGCAATAATATTTCTGAAGCAGGCATTTATAAAATAAATTGCCAAAACTGTTCATCCCAATATATTGGAGAAACAAGTAGAAGTTTAAAAAACGCATTTATGAACACAAAAGAGTCCTCATAAAAAATAACTTAGCTAATGCAATAGTCATACATAGAAATAAATTCAACCATATATATATATATATATATATATATATATATATATATATATATATATATATATATATATATATATATATATATATATATATGTGTGTCTGTGTGTGTGTTATAAGGTGTGCTATATTTATGGGATAAAGTACTCAATATCAGAGATAGTGACTATGTAAATATAAAACTGAACACTGAAGTCAACATTCAAAAGTGACAATAATATTTGTTAATCCGTACGGATAATTCGAAAGAGGATATAAATCCCAAGAGAGCTCAATGAAGAACAGAACAAATGATAATTATAAAAGCGGACACTTTAGAAATCCATGGTAATATTTTATTTGGCATAACCAATTCTTCAGGTTTATCTCATCACACCAATTGAAACCGTTTGGTCTGATGAGACGAAAAATATAACCATGGGTTTATAAAGTCTCTGCTTTCATAATTTTATATATATATATATATATATATATATATATATATATATATATATATATATATATATATATATATATAAAGAAAAGAAAAGAACAGTAAGATATATATATCCGGTGTTCTTATAGATATTTTATTTTTACAAAATAGTGGTCAATGTAAATTTACAGAGCATTAATATTATAAATTAATTGATTTAAAATATATATATATATATATATATATATATATATATATATATATATATATATATATATATATATATATATATATATATATATATATATATATATATATATATATATATATATATATATATATATATATATATCATTGGTATATATATATATATATATATATATATATATATATATATATATATATATATATATAAAATCATTTAAACAAGATTTATTGAACAACACCGACAAGGTCTGTCTGACAAACTTTTATTTAGTTTTACCATCTGTCGACAAGCGTATATACACGTAAATCAGTCTACTTTATGTATAGTTCAACCCCTGAAATTTTTGTGAAAAACCTGATTTTTTAAATAGTTCAATGCTACCTTACTCGAATATCATTCTGGACATATTTTTTTTTTATCAGATAAATGGTCTTTATTCTTTTTTTTTTTTTTGTACAAAGGTACCCCAAAATGATGAGAGGAAACACTTACTGAAAAATATCTGATCCGAAGATTTAGATACGGTACTTTTGTTTTCGTTGATGTCTGCCTGCGGTAGCCATTTTAGTCTGGACCGTTAAGGGTTAGCCAAAAGTAAGAGAATGTAAGCCTACCAGGTAGGTGACCGTCATCGAAAACGCATAAATTTGAACCCTATCCAGAAAAATTTACCTGTGTATGGTGCAACCGGTCACAGAAAATGAATGCTTTTTTAACCACTTTTAAAAAATTACCTGTTGAATAGTGCAACCCCTTAAAAAAAGCTATTCCTAAAACCTCACACTCAAGCATAATATACGGTAAGTTATTTTATGTCAGATTAAAACATGGTAAATTTTCTAAAGTTCATATTGTCCTCATCTTTGTCGCCATATTTATTACAACGTTTCGGCCTTTCAGTAACTGTCTATATTTCTGTGATGAGGTATTATGTACACTATTTACATTATTCGGACTATTGTCCTCATCTTTGTCGCCATATTTATTACAACGTTTCGGCCTTTCACTATCTGTCTATATTTCTGTGATGAGGTATTATGTACACTATTTACATTATTCGGACTATTGTTCTCATCTTTGTCGCCATATTTATTACAGCGTTTCGGCCTTTCAGTATCAGTTTATATTTCTGAGATGAGGTATTATGTACACTATTTACATTATTCGGACTGTTCTCATCTTTGTCGCCTTCATCTTCGTATGTTTATATTTCTGAGATATTTATTACAATATTTTATTTTCGAACTACTGTCTTCATCTTCGTGGTCATATTTATCACAATGTTTCGTCCGTTGTACGCTCCGGGTTTCTTCAGGTGGTTGGAATGTCGAACTGAACCCTTTATTTCGCTCACTGGGGTAGACTGTTCTAGTTCCACGTGCCATGTTTAATGGATGTCAGTTATCAGTTATCTCCTGTTAATTCCCCTCTCCAAATTGTCCACTGCCTTAACCGGGTATTGAACTCACAACTCTTTGGGTCCTGTCACTGGATCTAACCAACGCCTTTATCCACTGTGTCATGTTTTAGATCCAGTGACAGTGACCCACTACCCGGTTAAGGCAGTGGAGAACTTGACACGTAGACCTAGAACAGTCTAACCCAGTGAGCGAAATAAAAGGTTCAGTTCGACATTCCAACCACCTGAAGAAGGCCGGAGCGTACAACGGCCGAAACGTTGTAATAAATATGGCAACCAAGATGAGGACAATAATCTAAATAATATAAATAGTGTTCTCAAAACCTGTTTGGCAAATTCTGGGATTTTCATTTTGATGGAATATAATTTAAATCACATAATGGTGACGTCATCTCCAACTGTCAAGCTGAATTCATACCTACTTTTTTTATGTATATAAACTTCAATATACGATCTCCTATGGAGAAAGGTATATCTAATGTTGGTTCTGTTCGATTATAATGGCTTAGAATTATCAGGAGTCCTTCTTTGCGTTGAGTCGTATATATAATATTTTGGTGTTAACTATTAGAATTTTTCTAAAGTTAATATAATTTTGGTTGTTTCTGACGTGTTGATCAATGTAATTGAGCATACATTTTAATAAAAGACAAGTCAACCTACGTGATAGGGTGATGCATTTTTGGCCAATGTAAGAATTTCATCTTATTTGTTGCTTGTTTATGTTGCAAAAAGATGATTTTGATAGATTGTTGTTTCGTACCAGCTCAGAATTTGATAAACAAAGAAGAAACTATGAGGATATAAAGAGGGTCAATTCTATATTACAATCAATATATAAACTGATCCCTCACTTTGTGGCCACGGTAATTTCTATGCAATTATATTTCAGAGAATGTAAATAAGGACATGCCTGTGAAGCTATTCAGTATTTGACTGATTGATTCGTTTTTTACGGCTTACCAACCTTTTGCAGGTTATTTAAAACCAGAAAGTATTTTTGGAATGTACAAATTCTTCTTTTAGATAATAATGGTTAGCAATTCTTTTCTTTTTAAGCGCCGTGTTCCTTCAGGACGTAGGCGATCATGGCTCTCCACTTCTCCCCATCCCTTGTAGCTCTCAATAAGTTTTGTCCCTTTGCTATGTCATGCGTTGCTTTCCGTTGTCTCTCTTTCCATCTGTTCGACCTGTGAGTATTAGATTCTCCAAGCCGTCCTTTCTAATTACGTGTCCCAGAAACTTCAGCTGCCTATTCCGTGGCGCACAAAAAATTTAATTAAAGATACGGAATCAGACACATTGATTAAGATAAGAGGTATAAACAGAAGGGATGCCTCTTCCTGGTGTTGAGTACAAGCTTCCTCCTTGTTTACATCTTCTTTAAAACCACATGGTTGCTCACACGTTCGGTCCATGATATTCTTAGCATCCTTCTGTAGAACTACACCTTCCCCCGTCTCGAGTTTCTTCTTCATCCTTGAGGAGACCGTCCAACATTCGCTGCAGTAAAGGAGTTGTTCAGTACTTTGTTACCACTTGTCTTGTAATATTTTGCCTGGCTTTTGGAAGGCGTCTTTGGCCATTCCAATACATCTTCGGATCTCAGTGTCGCACTTACCGTCCACTGTGAAAACATTTCCCAGATATTTAAATTTCCGCGCTTGCTTGATTTTAGTATCCTCGACCTGCAAATCGCATTTCGGACTCATCCTTTTATTGATGACCATGCATTCTGTCTTCTTATAGTTTATGCTTAGTCCATTCTTCTCGCTCTCCTTCGCTACCTTCTGTAGGAGTGTAATTTCTTTTTTCCGTGTCTGCTATCAGTACTGTGTCTATATTAGTATAATTAATATATTCACTGCTGTATTATTATACCATTGTTGCCTGGCTGTGCTGGCCCATTTTGGTAAAAATAGGAAATTGTAATATACTGGAAATAAATATACCATATTAAATAAGTATACAAGATACCAAAGATGAAAGCTCATCAGAAAAATTACCATGAAAATTTTACACAATTATTAAAATACCAAAGTGTTTATAATAATCCCTAATTCCTTTGATCCAATAAAAGAAGATAATAAAATTTAAGAGCTCAATATAAATAGCAGATTTTTTTAAATGCTATATTTTATGACTCCAGTGATATTTTCATGATTCTCCGATCCCCATGTACATAATTTAAATAGCAACTGACAAAAGTTCCAAGCAATATTAACTCCAATTTTGATTTTACTTTGAATTTTAAATATAGCAGGATTTCAATTTAGATTGGTTATTTTACCGGCATAAGGACCCTAAAGAGTCATTTCGCGCCAAATCGGATAGTTTTTAAGATTTCTTTTTTATTTTGTATCTATTTCAAAGAGAAATTCTTTTATAAATCGCTATTATATAAGGGTGGGGATATAATTCGGTTTTAGTTGCATTTTCTAGCCGGGTGTTTATTCAATTTCCTTTTTATATTTTGGCATAAATCTGCTTGATCTTAGTGTTCCCGACCTACAAATCACATTTCGGGCTCATCCTTTTAGTGATGACCATGCATTCTGGCTTCTTGTAGTTTATGCTTAGTCCTTTCTTCTCGCTCTCCTTCGCTACTTTCTGTAGGAGTGTAATTTCTTTTTCCGTGTCTGCTATCAGTACTGTGTCAACTCTGGTCTTATTACTTAACCCATAGGTGGAGGATAGAAGTGGTATGATCCATACGTTTCTCAAGAACATTTGCGCGACTGGAATTGGAACTCGGCTCTCCGATTAACAATCCAGGCCATTATACACATCCAAGCGTACAGCATCGCGTATTCCCAAGCGGTCAACGATCGAAGTTCAGACCAGGATCAACGTTGCTTAACTTTGGTGATCATACGGGAACCGATGTTTAAACAGCACGTGGCTGTAAGCTTTGATTAATTTTTAAATGATTACTATCACTAATTCTGATATAAAGCAACTTAATCGGAATTTGAAAAAAAATAAATAAAAATACTACAGACAGATCCTGTCGGAATTGTTCAATAAAATTTTTTTGAAAGATGTTTTGTTGCCTAAATACACCATCGCAAGAAACATAATATATGCATTAAAATACTGTTAATCCATAGTGCGAGTTGATCCTCGTCGATAAACTTGATGACTGTAGTTTTCAGTTTATTTGATGTTAAAATGCTAGTACTTACGAATAGTCCTCTATTCATCATCAGGCATGTGTTTTTTTCCTTATAAAATCAAAAACTTGGAGACGAAATACTTGTATGTCGACCGAAAGATGTTTTTTGAATATCTGCTATTATTAACGGTTGTGTAAGATCTCGGAACGTGCAAAGACGCAACGCTAAGTTTTACATACGTAATAATGTTAATAATGGACTCTCCCGTCAGTTTCGGCGTATGAAACTTAACCAATTGATTCAGTTATGAAATTTTGTGCAATAAACTTAAGTGCCACTTAAGACCCGCTAGTGATTTACAAAGGAGGCCGCACATGGAGCAAGAGTGAGGATTGTGAGATGAAATCACTGTTAGATTGGCTGACCTTTTAGATCTTGCTCTCGCTTCTTGAAGATGATTCAGACAAGCAGATTGAAAACTGCTGAGTCCACTGAAACACGTTGATCTCCATTCTAACCGCTCCAAGGCTAAGCGCTCGAGCGTGTTATGAATTATATTGACTGCTGACAATTAGCATTTCAGTTTGTTTTTGTATCTTAGCCATGGGCGTCCTACATTCCTGTAGCCCTGAACTAATTGGCTGTACATTAGGAAATCCAGGTAAATCGCCAGAAAACCCACACAAGTGATGTGATTTGATCAAAGTGGCGAAAGTTGTACAGAAACCTGCACACTTTTAGGAACTATTGATACACTCAGTCGGTGCAAATAAATATCACAGACGAAGCAGACAATAGACCTATATATATATATATATATATATATATATATATATATATATATATATATATATATATATTATTAAATATAACACACAATGAATGTCTATTATTTATTTATATGAGCCGTTCTAATGTTCGTATGTTTGCTTTAATTTCGGGTGAAATATGAGACAGATATTAGGTGATAACACAACAAAACTCACACATACACACAGTAAAAAGTAAATTCAGATATTGGAGGCCATCTACATTAAAATAAAGCAACGCACACTCAACAAAAATACATTTCAAATTAGTCACAACACAGTTCATTGTAAAGTTGGCTCTCTGTGCCGCGCCAGGAAATTTTTCTCCCCGGAATCGATACTTCAAATATACAAATCAACCATTCGCCCTTGCATGGAGTATTGCTGCCATATATGGTCTGGTGCACAAGTTCTTGACAAGATCCAAAGACGGATATGTAATATAATTGGCCCTGATCTGGCATCTCGTCTACAGTCACTCTCTCACAGACGCAATGTCGCCTCTCTCTGTCTTTTTTTTTTAAATACTTTCATGATAATTGCTCCGATGAGCTGCTTTAGACACAGTCATCAGGCCTGGCGATTGCGTCTAGCATGAAACAGCCTGTCGCCTCTAAATGTTGACTTCAATTTTCACTTTTATATTTATATACGCTATTTCTCTGATATTGAGCACTTTATCCCATGAATATAGCACACGGTAGGGGTATATTTCTTCACATGATTGTTCCTGTCTTCAAGAACTCCGGCGACCCCTCTGACCCTTCCAACTACCGTCCTATCAGTCTCCTTCCCCTCTTCGGCAAAATCTTGGAAGCTCTAATCAATACCGGGGTGGTTAACCACCTCACATCCAATAATCTGCTCTCAGACAAGCAATATGGTTTCCGCTTTGCCAGATCTACAGCCGATGTGCTCCACAGCCATCAAAAAAACAGTCTGAACTCTCCAAAATAACGGGGAAGCCTTTGGCACTAGATATCTCCAAAGCATTTGATAGGGTTTGGGTTGCCTTCTCCGCAAGATCCAGGGTTATGGCATTACGGGTCAATTATATAACGTAATACAATCATTCCTGTCAAACCGTGAATTGGTCGTTCTCAACGGATTCTCCTCGGTTCCCTATCCCACGAACGCGTTCCTCTCCATCCTAGGCCCCACTCTATTCCTTATCTATATAAATGACCTTTCCTGACGCCGTAACTTCTCAAGTCGGCATCTACGCGGATGACACCACAATTTATTCCTGCCTCAAAAACAAATCCAGTCTCGCTGATAAAACTCCTTGCCGTGCGCCTCGAAAAAGACCTCCAATCGATTGTGAACTGGGGCAAGATTTGGCTGGTCAACTTCAACGCTTCGAAGACTAAACTTCTCTATTAATCACCACAGAGAGCCTTCCCTTCCCCTCCATTATAATGTTCGACGCTCAACTTCCCGAGAGCAACTCTCTGCGGCTTCTCGGTCTCACGTTGACTGCTGACCTGAGATGGAATAAATACATCAGTCAGTTGCCTCGTCCACTGCGAGGAAAGTTGGCTCCTGAGCCGTGCTAGGAAGTTTTTTCTCCCTGAGTCGATCCTCCAGATATACAAATCCACAATTCGCCCTTGCATGGAGTATTGCTGCCATATATGGTCTGGCGCCTTCTGTTTGCCTCGGGGTTCTTGATAGGCTCCAGAGGCGGATATGTATATGGTTGGCCCTACCCTGGCGTCTCGTCTACAGTCACTTTTCACAGACGCACCGTCGCCTCCCTCTGTCTGTTCTCTAAATACTTTCATGGAAATTGCTCCGAGGAACTGCATTCGCTGGTTCCCAAACTTCATGAGTTCAAGCGCCCTACGAGGCTGGCATCCCTCTCACCCCTTCACTGTCGAAACTCATAAATTAGCCGTCTCTATATGTCTCGCACCTCTCGCCTGTGGAACTCTCTTCCCTTCTCCTGTTTCCCTGAGAGTTATAATCTCCAGCTATTCAAGTGTAATGTCAATCGACATCTCCAGTTGCCTTAATCTATACTACCTCATCCTTTCTTCTATCACTCCTATCTGATCTTCCTATTTTCTGTAAAGTGGCTCTTTGCTTGGGGTGAAATAAAAAAAAAAAAAAAAAAATATATATATCACATGAAATGATCACATGAAAAAAATTATGAAGCTATTTTTAAGTGGATGTTGGAATTTGCTTTGGTGGAACGGCAATTCTGATAATTATCGAAAACCTTTCACAGCGACAGAGGCTTTGAAACACATTTAGAAACATTTTAATTGTCAAAAGCCGTTGACAACAACGTCTAGTCCCGGGCCACCACTTCAAATGGGATTATTAATGCATTGGTATTTAACGTTTTAGTTTCAGCTATCCCTATAAAAGGAAAAAAAATCATCTCCTTCAGATTTAAAAGGAATTATATTACACACATGCACAAAAGCACAGAGAAGGATCAAGTGCCAAATGAAATCAGGAGGAGACATAATTCTCTTTTTATATATATATATATATTATGAAATGGACAAAGCCCGACAATTATTTTTAAGACATTTTTATGTTTATACATTCTTTTTTATAGATACAAATATTTATGTGAAAGCTCTGTTTAGAATAAACAGTATTAACAACATTTAGCGGCCTGAGTGTCCGAGAAATTTTCATAGAAAATATGCGTCCTCCAACAGGAATCGAACCTATATCCTATACGGAACTATCATATAGCCCGACGTGCTTTTACCGATTTCGCCAATAGAGGAACCCATCGGTTAGTAAGGTCGATTTTACTGTTTTTAAACTAAAATTTTCAATGATTTTCTCACGTACATTCATATCTGCTCGATGCGTATCCAAATGTAAAAAAATGACGTCATACATTATGAAATGGAAAAAGCCGACAATTATTTTAAGACATTTTTATTATAAACAGAGCATTTACTTAAATATTTGTATCCATAAAAAAAGAATGTATCAACATAAAAATGTCTTAATATATATATATATATATATATGCAGAGGGAAAGAGAGAGAGAGAAATTAAAATGAGGATTGGAATAAAAAGCACCAAATATTTAATATAATAGTGTTATTTATTTATATGAATTTTTACAGAGAAGAATTAAAACTGCTACAATTAGATTTTCAGTGTTTTTCTTAGAAAAATAATTTTTCTTTTTAAAAACTGTTTAAAATTTATATATATATATATATATATATATATATATATATATATATATATATATATATATCCTTCTCTTCATTCTTTTCCTCACTCACCGCCAACACGAGATTTATAAAATCGTATCGCAGTATGAGTAGTAAGCGAAATTTTTTGGGGAATAACTAATTCTTGAAATTTACGCGTTTTTATAAGCATATTCATTATTAAAATTAAAATTACTATGGTAACGGCTAGAGCATTTATTTTTAATTTATTTCGCTTGAAGCTTAAACAGAGCTTGGGATTTTAATTCAATTTAATTCAAATAATTATATTGAAGTTTTCGGCTCTTGTTTTGAAACATGAGAACTGTTATGTAGCGAAGGAATTATATTTTTAAATAAATAATTATATTCATATATATATATATATATATATATAGTAAAATTCTTCAGAATAATTCTATGGATAAGACAAATTGGTATAAATATGACAATTGGAAAAAGAATCTGCCTTTTGGTCTTGCCTCTTTAAATTCTAAGAGGAGGGATGGGTTAACTTCAACATCTAGGGGCAAAAAGAAGCGTCAACATATTGCACTATTCTGCTTTGAATGTAGAAGAAGGAAAACCGCCATTTTAAACCTATGCCTTGCGGCCATATCCAAAACATTAAAAAGTCTATGGAAGTAAACTCGAAGTTGAGTCCCGAAGGTGATCAGCAGCCAACACTGACACCTTTCCGGCAACTCCTGCAGCCAAACCGCCCCACAAATGACCTGTATTCCTTTAGATCTTGTCCGTACCGCCGAGAAGTG